GGGGGGGGAAGAAAAAAAAAAGTAAAGGTTGAATAGAAGAATAGTTAAAGTAAAGTCAAAGGTTTAAGTGAATTGAAGTCCTCGTGGACATGGTAAGCCGTTTAAGTTTCAACGGGCTTACAATGTGTTGGTAAGTCTTATCGAGGAGAGGAGAAAAAGAAGCAGGAATCTCGTGCCGGACTCGACTGCGTGCAAAGTTGGTTCTTTAAAAGTAAGGGAAAGGAAAGGAAAGACAAGAACCTACTCTCAAAGTTCAAAATTGTCAAAGTCGAGTTGTTCTTGATATATTTATACTCAATCTTTTCCCCATCCTCTTTCCGGCCCGTGTTTCGGCCGGGCCGTCCAAAGGACCCCACCTCCGACGTCCCGGGTTTCGTCTTGTTCGGCTTCCGAGTCTCACTTGTCTCATCTTCTAATCTTCACCTTGATCTGCGACTTTGCCAGCTTCTTTCACAAACTCAATAAAAATTTCAAACGCTCGTTTCTCTCAGTTGATGTGACAAAGGACAATATAGTCAAGCAATTATTGTATCAGCAATGAGCCACGTCCAACCTTCCCCCACGGTCATCCAATGGGTCATTGACACTCGTCCTCTCTGGTCCTCAGCCCTCAAGACCAAAGATCTTATCACCAACGTAGGTGTTTTGTTTCAGTCGCTGCCTCAAACCTGATACTCATCTGTTTTTCTCAGGCTTCACGCGCTCTTTCACTTCTCACTACTGAGGAGCAAGCCTCTGTTCTGAGATATTACCACGTTCGCGACGCCAAGCTCGCTCTCGCTTCAGCCCTTCTTAAGCGCTATGTTATATCTCGCTTCTGCCACGTCCCCTGGTTCCAAGCCAAAACTACCCGAGACTCCCGAATGAAACCCGTGTTCATCTTGCCGAGCGGCGATGAGCCCCTCATCTTTAACATCTCGCATCAAGCTGGCCTCGCAGTCCTGATAGCTGTGCACCACCCGCCTCAAGGCCTTGCTGTGGGTGTGGATGTCGTTTGTCCGCCAGAGCGCAGGGATCGCGATCTGCATAGTTTGGCGGAAGAAGGGTGGTCGAGTTTCGTCGATGTCCATGCCGATGTATTTGGTCCAAGAGAGGTTGCAGCACTGAAGCATATGAACCCCGGACCTGCCACTCCCGAGCGAGATCATGCATTGCGCTACTTCTACGCGCTTTGGTGTTTGCGGGAAGCCTATGTCAAGATGACCGGGGATGCTCTTCTCGCGAGTTGGCTGAAGGATCTCGAGATGCGAGACTTCGCTCCACCTGAAGACATGCGAAAAGCTCAGGAGGTTTGGCTCAAAGAAAGAAAAGTCGACGGTGTAGATATAACGTTGATGTCATTTTTAGAGGATTACATGATCTCAACTGCCCTGAGGCATGGCCTGCATGGGGAGACTGTCGAATTGAAAGACTTCCAAAGTCTTGACATAGAGGAACTGTTGTCGTTTGGAGAGAAATCGTTGAGTCCCCAAGTAACGTAAAAAAAAGACTAATAAACAAACACAAGCAGACTTGACATAAAATATTATTACTTAGTTCGTCATGTGTCATGGCATAAATACATTGCATCTTTTGTAGACAAACATAGTATTCCTCCTGCATTTAGAAGTTCTTACCAAAGAACTCAACGACGGTCTTGTAGCCTCTCTCGTACTCCTCTTTGACGCGGGAGTCGTTGAGATCGGCACGAGCAGCCATCCAGCCGTGAATCTGATCCTCGAAGGTCTCAACGTGCTTGGCTACCTTGAGGTTGTTTTCAAACTTCTTGACCTCTTCTTCAGGCTCCTCCTTGGAGGCGAGTAACATAGTGGGAACTGAGAGACCCTCGGCATCGGTCGCATCAACCATGGCAGGGTGAATCTGAGCGGCAATGGAAAAGGGGTTGGAGTCAGCCTTGACACTGAGGGCGACGACCTTGCCACCCCAGCAGTACTGCCCCAGTTCATGTCAGTCATATAATCTCCGCGGAAAAGAGGATTACTTACACCGATGATTCCAAGCTTCTCAATGGAAGAGTCCTGCTCCTTAACAGCCTTGACGTAGTCAGGTACTTGGCCAGCAATCTTAGGAGGAGGGAAGGTCTCGAAAAATTCGCCAAGCTGCTTCTTTTTATCATCATTGTCCGGAGGATAGCTGAGTATTGACATTAGCTTCGTTCTAAGCAACATGACAGACAGGAACTCTCACATCTCAATGGGGCAGGGACTACCCTTGAACCAGTCCGGGATAAAGACCTTGTACTTCTGATGGGCGTCGCTGAAGGCGAGGATATCAGCACCCTGTAGGGTTTGCTCGAAGTAACCAAAGATATCGTAGATAACGACAATGGCCTTCTTAGCGTCGACGGGGCCAGTGACATCTATTTACGTTAGTGGTACTTTTTGTGACGAACATTGCACCGCGTACAAGTCTTGTAGCCCCCAATCTCCTTGTAAGTCCCTAGAGGCTGATATCCCTTGGTGACGACAGGTGGGATGTTGCAGCAGGCCTCGTTGTGGCCGTGAGAGGCGGGCATGGTCGACATGATGGGCAATTTGGTATCAATCGTAGAGGCTGTTAATGAGCTATGCGTTAGCTACCTATGTTCTTGTCCGACGCGAGGACTGACAATGAATTTGAGTCGATCGCGATTGATTAGGATTCAAGTCACATAGACTACTCGGATATGAGAAGATGGGAAAAGAGAATTGTCGATCAGTTTCTTGACGACGTTGGGGGGATTAAATGGGTGGGAGCTCTAGTCTAGGTAGAGACGAGACTGCGGGGAGGAGGAGGAGGAGGGGCAAGAGCTCATGCACGAGCGAACAGGGGAAAGAACCAATGATGTCACTATTTACCGTAACTGCCGTATCCAACAAGACTGACTGATTGACTCTTTTCCAATCTACCAAGGTATCTGTCACTCGTTACAAGTTGTATCAGCGAGGCTGATTTACCCCAACATCCGATACCATTAATATCGTTTTGGCTTGCTCTGACTCTGATTCTGACTTTGACCCTCGAGCATATATATCCGTGGTCTGTAGCTTCCTCTAACGTAGTTGCCGGTGGGAGGGATGGATGTGGTTGAAAGCCCAACTATCATCGCAATACCCTCATTAATGAAAGATCAGCAAGGGCAGTTCAATCTTCCTTATAGTGCGTGACAAATTTCAGTGCTCTATTGTGAGAAGTTATCCAAAGCCCATCATCTCATCAAAATGTGACCATAGACGATCCAAAGCTAACCTATCGTGACCTCCATTGTTCCAGATTAGACCAAAACTCCTTTTCGTTATGCTATATATGCAACTAAGCGCCAAAAACTCCTTCTTATGCCGCTTGACTTTTCTTGGACCATATAATTTCAGTGGAATCCCCATCATTGTACCCCTACTCCAGATATCCTCAAACCCTCGCCAGCGTTAGGCCCCCTTTCAACTTTGCGTTAACCGGGACTGTCGCTGTTTTCCAGTCCGTCTATATGAAATCGGCAACCATCATCTTACTGGGGAATTCGGGCTGAGCCCTCCCATTCGCCGAACAACCACCTGCATCTTTTCGATAAGCTCCGGAATTCTGTATGGCTTCACCATCACATCATCGCACCCGGCCTGCTTGGCCTCCATAACTTGCTCGGGTCGCGCGTTAGCAGTGACTGCGATGATCGGCACCCTGCCTCCAGATGCGCAGAATATCTCTCCCTCTGCTTCCAATTCACGAATTATCCGCGTGCATGTCAAGCCGTCTTGGATAGGCATCTCAATGTCCATCAATACCAGGTTAATGGCAATAGGAAGTGAATGTGTATTGCTCCTCCCTGAGCGGCCAGCAACTCCCTTGAGGCCAATGCCTGGGACGCCACCTTGACGCCTTTTCAACTTCTCAAGAGCTTCGACTCCATGATTCGCGACATCGACCATATAACCTCGATCTGTCAGTCCTCGTCTTGTGATTTGCTGGTTGATGAGATTGTCTTCGACAACAAGGATTCCGTCCAGTCGAACGTTTCCTCCTGGGTTCTGATATTTTTGCAGACGAATATCGCGGCAAGGCCGCTTCCCATCAGTTGAGTCCGCACAGTCGCCGTTGGCGATCAGCCTAGCCGCGGCGGCAGCTGCCAGTGCTTCGTTTCGGGACGCCTCGCTCGGAACATACGCCTCAATGTAGAATGCAAATGTCGAACCCACACCTGGTTGGCTCGAAACACCAATCGCTCCGTTTTGAAGCTCCGTCAGTCGACGTGAGATAAACAGTCCAAGGCCAGAGCCTCCGTACTTGGTGTGCGTCTTGGCGCTGGCTTGAACAAATTTGTTGAATAGGCTACCCATTTCTTCCGTTGTCAACCCTTGGCCTGTGTCTTTAACCTCGAACAACAGATAAATGGGTTTGGTTCGTCCTTTCAAAGCCGGTTGGTCATATTCTTCTGATACATCGCAAAATCGAGGAATAAATTGAACAGCTGTCATGTTCTCTCCTGGTGGCGTCAATGACCCTTTAACGCCAAGGGTGACGTTGCGAGTAGTACCAGACTTGGTAAACTTCAAGGCATTGGTAAGAAGGTTGATTAGAACTTGCTGGACTCTGCTTGGATCAAGATCAAGGTAGTCGTATGCCAGATCCTTGTACGACTTGTCGACATACGATGTCAGCTCAATATCAACACGGCGAGCCTCCACCTCGAACATTTTGAGCGCTCCGTTGACAATCTGAATAGGGTCCACTGTGCAGGGAGTAACGGCCAGTAGCTTCGAGTCAAGTTTAGACATCGTCAAGATATCATCGACAATGCGCTTCTGATGCTGGGCACATGTGACAATAGTCTCTGCATTTTCAATGCTGTCTTCAAGAAGCTTTCTTTCTTCAATAGATCGTTCGCCGATACCTTTTCCTTCACGATGGGCACCATTTCGTGTTGGAGTAAGAGGAGCAGAATTATCGCTAATGTCCTGTACCCTCGCAAGGGAAGCGATAATGGCGTCGGTGCAATGAAGAATGGCGCTCAATGGATTCCGCATCTCATGCGAGGTCATATCAATGAAGTTTTCCTGTTGTCGCTTAGACTCGATCGCCTCCTCTTTCCGAAGTTTCTCTTGTTCCAGTTGCCACTTCTGTATCGAAACGTCACTCAGACAGCCAGTAAAAGACTGTATGACCCCGTCTGAACTCTTGACGGGCATGAACGTAGCAAGAACCCATCTAGGGGCAACGGATGAGTTCCCGCTGCCATCATCACTAATCCAGCCGTTGCGCAGGCGGAACTCGGCCGTTTCAGTACGTCCGGACTCCATCAGTTTATCAAGACTTTCCTGAAGAATATGAAGATCTTCTTCAACAACACATTCTGGCCAAGGTCGCACGTCGACTTTGGTGAGGTCGACCTTCTCCAGATCCGTCAATTCCCAGAACAGGTTGTTCGCGCTGAGCAGTCTTCCGTCCATGCTGACATCATACATCCCAACCGTCGCAAATTCTGCCAGCCGCTTTAGATTCTCCGCTTCCTGCGCTCGTCGCACAGCTTCCTCGGCCGTGTCCTTTTGCACTGTTACATCAGTCAGGCAAGTCAGTATTCGGATGACACTGCCATCCGGTGCTCTCTCAGCCTTCGTAGAAGCTAGGATATGGCGCGATACTCGCTCATCCATTACAGGCAAGGGTCCGGTGGAGGATCTGAAGCTCTGTGGTCCCGTCGTGTTTTCAGTTCGCGCGATGCGGTACTCGAAGGTGACTGTGTCGAGCTCTTGAACATCCTTGTATGCCTGCATAACTTTCTCCTTATCTTCTTCAAGGACTGACTCGAGCAACGCCCCTTGGGCAATTGTGCCTTTTGGATATCCGGTGATGCGATGCCAAGCGTCGTTGGCAAACGTGATGTTACCTTCGTTATCGACAAAGCACATTCCAACAGGGATAAATTCTGCCACCGAAGTGAGCGTTTGCATTGATCTCTCTGCCTGCTCGGTTTGATATTCCAGTCGCTGTGTGAGCATTGCATTGTCATAAGCGGCCTGTTCGGTGATGTTACGCCTCCGGCGCGCCTCTTCTTCCAGGAGTACTGTGGAAGCAAGGGAGCTCGTAAGTTTTTGGTTCAACAAAGAGATAAATTGTTTGTAGTCGTTGTCATATGGGCGCCTAGAGTTCAAGCCCAGAAACAAAATGCCCATCACATGCTCTTCCTTTGTAGGGCGAATAGGCAAGACCACAGCAGCCTGACAAGGGTCGCCGAAACCGCGCCATGCCAAACCGTGGAGTAGATCTTTTGGCAACGTGTCGTCCTTAGTCTGTAGGAGCATGGGTTGACGCTCATCTAAGGACCGTCGCAAGATAGATGCCATGCCATCGTCTGCTTCCCTGAGGTTCAGGACCGGAGGTGCAATGGCATGTCCTTCTGGTACACCGAGGGAGCCCTCGAGCAGGCAGGTATTTGAACAATCGTATTTGGACGAAGTGGAGTCGGTATCGTCTTGCTCGACCGAGTATATGAAGGCCAACGGAACGTCATATGTCGGATTCCAACGTTCTAACTCCTCGATCGTCCTGGACCAGTAGGATTTAGCATCTTTCGTAGATACTAGAGCCTCGCCAAGATCGATGAGCATCTTCATCCTTCGTTCCCAGAGTCGTTTTGAAGTCATCTCGAGAAGCGAATGCTGGATTCCCAGGCATTTCTTTCCATAAACAATAGGAACCATAGAAGACTTGGCATAAGTCTCTTCAAAGGTCCCATCCGCTTGCGGTATGAAAAACTTGGATTCGTCTTCAGCATTGGAATAGTTTTTCGTGGGCGAGGCTGTCATTTCATCGAGCCGAGTCTTCAGATGAGTCCAAGCTTCGGTAGCAGGTCGACCCAGGAGTCCAGGATGTCGCGCGCCGCAGTATTTTGAAAATGCTTCATTGTAAATAGTGATGTATTCGGGTCCCCAATAAAGCGCCACAGGCCGTGAATCAGACACGAGCTGATTGAATGTATATTGAAGTTGAGCCGGCCAATCTGCCATGGGACCTAGGGATGTTGATTCCCAATCTACGCTTTGTACCACGTCAAGAAACGGTTCCGCCTCGGAATCGGAAACAGGCACCATGAGGCCTGGATTTGATTCGTCGCGGTAGAGCATGGGGGTTTTGCTCTCCGACTTTCTTCGGGACGGTAATCGTGCATTGTCTAATGGTGACTTCTGTGGGTGTTTCCTTGTTGTCTCGCCTTCCCTTCCTTCTATTCGGACTTTGCGCGGAGGCTCTGAGGAAGGAGGGGTCTCGTTACCACTCATCACCACCCATTGGCCCAGCACAATGCTTCGCGTCCAGTAGATACCAAGGTATGGCAGTGAGTGCTGCGTATTTGTTGCTGCAGGGCCCGCGGCGTCCTTTTCAGCAGCCGGCACAGGTGGTGAGCTGGTAACCCAGTTCCAAAATGGAGTATGGGAAGCATCTTGAGGAATAGAAGAAATCGATTGATCGAGAGTATGTAAGTTCTGCAAGGCAGGGTTTCGGTAAAGTATGTCGGCGGAGGAAGAATCGACGGCGTTTGAGGTTTGGTCGGGTAAGGCAACGACAAATATAGGTCGAGGGTCAGAAGCGACAAGGTCTACAAGACCGAGATTTTGAAGAGCTGGGGGCGGCATTGGGCAGGTCAATTACGACGAAACCCTACTGATGTCGAGCAAAGGGAATGAAGAGTTAAAAGGAGTAGGGTGGCTGTTTGGGTCGCCCTAAGGTCGAGTTCGAGAGGGAAAGCGAATTGAGGTATCGATCGTTCTCTGTGTCGTCATTGCAGTCGCAAACTGGAGGGGCTCGTTAAGATTGCTGGTGAGTCAAGTCAAGTCGAGTCGAGTCGAGTTGAGTCGAGAAGAAGTGTGATGATCGGGGTCGTCAAAGTTGCACGCGATCGGTGAGTGACGTGTAAGTGGGAACAATTCAGCCCAACGATGAGAGTGAAGCCATCGTCTGTAGATAACAATGTGACTGGATAACTGGGTAATTGGTGTTTTGTTCACCTTGTAAACGGTGGGCTGAACCAACTTCTTGTTTGTTGCAATAATACTTGGATCGCTGCTAACATTAAAGGCCTGTAGACAAAACGCCAGGGCTAGGATCGGGGAGTGTGATCCATCCATGGACGTATAGATGCGGGTGCGTAAGTGGAGCACCTTATGCCTTGCTCCCTGGAACCTGAAAGTGTTAGTGGACAAACGAGTAATGAATGACAAGATTTAGTGGCTTTTCCACAAAAAGAAGACCTACCTATGGATGGAACGGCCCATCATTCTAGCGATCGGCTCCACTACAGCACGCACCTGTTCCAGTGTCAGCGGTGAATTTCTGACTGTCCGTCGACCCTGGTCGATAGGTAACTTACTGTTTTCCAAGGTTGAGTCGATTTCTCTACTATTATGACATAATCTTGGACATTCTGGAACCGCTCTATGCGCGGCATTCTTTGTCTCTGTTGAACATTAAACGACTCCAAATTTGAATTTCAGATGTTGAGGGCACCACAGGCATAGAAAAACCTGAGCGGCCAGATGTTTTGGAGGACTCACCTGAAATAACCCTCTTGCAAACTATTCGCGCTAACACACACTATGGCACTCACTAGAGAGAGATCAATGACTTCCATACTGCCTACTACGTAGCACCTTAGAGGTAGGTACCTGGGTAGTAGGGTAGTAGAGGCGGGGGCTAGGGGAGAGGAGCCCGACTAGCCGGGCAACATTTGCTCCGGCGGCCTGGGATTATAGTACCATTGGAGAGAGACGCCTCAAACAAAAAGAGAAGGAGGGCGACAACCCCATCCCAATATGTTGACCGTTAACGCTTGAGCAGTTTATTTCCTAAGGTCATGTCAAGGACCATGCGAAAATCCAGAGCCATTACTCGGAAGGGGAAGCGTCACTTGCGATGAAACGAAAGATTCCCTCAGGTACTAGCTCACGTTTCAAGAATTTGCATAAGGAATGCGGACACATGAGCAAGTAAACTACACACAGTACTTTACGTTGAGTTACTCTCTGAATGCGATGGATGATGGCGCTAAGAGACATATTCGATTGCGTCTCGCTAAATACGAATCTTGATTCGTTGTGGTCAATAGCAGGAGGGCTACTGTACCTACTAGTAGGTATCTGTACTAACCTCCATACTGGGGACTGGGTATGCCGATAGTCTATGTACTCATTTTTTATACAAACCAGGTTAAACTGTCGTCTGCATGAGGCTTATGCGGCCTACACTGCTCGGTAAAGCTTAGCCCTGACAACAAGGCCGCTACAAGGGCTCTCATGGTATTTTATAGCCAGCCATGTGCATGCCGTATGGTCTGCCGGTTCCTGGTTTTGGGTTGTTCTAGAGTTCCATGACAAATCCAAGCTCGAATTGCCTTCCCAAGTATGAATAATACCCTGAGGTATTGTTTAGTTTTCACTTTTTACCGCACTTGTTTATCAGAGGATCAGAAACGATCGTCCGAGCCGACAGATCTCGGGATGCACCCCTGGCATGCAGAATGGGCACACACAGTCTGCATGCATGTATATATGTACAGTACAGTACAGCACTTACTCATCAGGTACTAACCTAGTACTATGTATAGTCTAATGGGAACTAGGTAATTAAGTTTGTTAGTCTTCGGGTGCCAGGTGGGTGTCAGAAGAATTATCTTCCAAGGCTTAGGGTACAGAAATAAAGTGGCCCAGATGTCTAGCTAAACAGGCATAAGATGACCAAATTATTTCGTCCTCTATGCACTCAACGGCCAATTCTTCTGACACCCTGACGGGTGCCAACTGTCAATGGACGGATGTCGTGCCACATGAATGTCACTCTCACTCACTGCCACTTCAAGTTTGGTTACTTCCATTACTATTCGGGGACTTGCACATCTCCCGAGCTGTCGGTAAGTAGCACCGCAATGGTTTGGATTGGGTCAACGGCCAGGTCCAGCCGGCCGCTATTGGAAAGAAGACGAGTGTTTTGATACCTAGGCTATACTTATGGGGTCGATCGCTCACGATTTTATCTGCTGGAAAATTAGACTTTATACCTATGAATATTACCTTAGTACCTAGCTTTTATCCATGCTGTTAAGGGTTTCAACAGCTAGACAACAAATGATATTGAATAACTCAAATCCAGTGTCAAGTCAGTTGGTGGAAAGTACTAGGTATCTTCTCAAGCGCATTTCCCAATAAGCCACTGGCAGATATGATCCGTGAATACCGAGACGAAAAAGGCGTCTTGAGTTGCTTTACCAAACCAACCCTTCATCATCAAATTTCTGGGCCAAGAAGAACCAGTTGTTACTTCCCTAGCTGCCTAGCTACCTGGTACCTAGGTATGGATGCTGCCGTTGACCACCCATTACTGGCAAGTGAAGCTTCATGATAAATTATGTGTGGCGTTTTGAACAAGGCAAGCCAAGGCAAGGGCCAGTACCATTTTGCCTTGCCTCATGCAACCAAGAAAGCTGGTTCCTGGCCCGACAGCCTGGTTCCTAGGTCGCGAGTTCCCGGTGCGAATTTGTAAAGATCAACTCTAGATAGATGCCCTACCTAGGTAGGTACCTATCTCCCGTCTACACGACAACAGGCTCGTAGCGTTTTAGCTCTGCAATATGGATTCCAGTCCACTACTTTGCTGAACAAACAAGATTCTAGATCAAACATCCAAGGGTAGATAGGTGGTTTCTAGTTCCCTTTATCCTGACTCTTGCTTTTCGCAAAATGTTCCTCTGCATATTGATAACATTCGACGGCTCCGAGACGTATCAGCCATGTTCCCAAACTAGCCCAAGACATGGAATTGCTCAACGTCCTGCACCCCATCGAAACCACCGACCTTGGCTTACACGCCCGTGCGATACTACTGATATAGATTACCTCGGCATAAAGTATGGCAGTACTACCACCACCACCACCACTACCACCACACTATATTCAGATTGCCATGCGCGGCCTCTGAAACCCCTCGAGGAACCCGTGAGTTCGCCTTGGAACTATACACCCACAAATAATCACCAGACTCGGGGAGCCGCGGCAATTGTTGATCATTCAACCCCGATATCTAGTCTCGTACTGGATTCGGAAGAAGACGACTCGATCTCTCATGTCCAACCAAGGGGGTTTAATCCTGCTCCTGGGGGGCAGTGCATTTGCAAAGATAACGATTTATATCCTCAAGCAACGACGAGTCTTCTGCAACGTCATCATTCACACTTGCCTTTCTGCCCAGGCACTACGATAGGAATGTGACGATGGTGATGGTTTGTTCGGTCTATCAGCAATGATTGCTCAATGTCCTTTTCTTTGATTAAACAAGTACTTGGCACTGAACCCGGCTGCTTTGGTTTAAGTACTTTCAATGAGTCTTATGGGTTGACGGAATGATGGAATTTCTAAAAAGCAAGTGATACAGATAGCGATAATGAAAAGAGCCAGTACAAAGTTTTGTTCCAAGTCCTGCCCTCCAACCCTCATAAATATTCGCTTTCGTCTAGATAGAGGCACAGCCCTTTGAGTATATCGTTGGCATCCATCCCAAAAACAACCTGTCAATGGAATCATTCTGGTCTTGGGCAACTGGAACATTTCTAGTTACGATTTACTGAGCGGCAATCAAGCTCATATAAATTCCCCAAGCAACACCAGCCAAAGCGCCCACAAGGTTACGTCCCTCAACAGTCTTGATGGCAGCAAAGTTGACAATGCTAACGGCAGGCCAAAGCTTCCAGCCAGCGTAGATGAGAGGAGCAAAATCAGACTTGGCAGCCTCCCAGACAACAGACCAGTTGACACGGCTAAAATCTATGGTGCGCGGAGAGGTCCAGTAAGTAATGGCTTTGGGAAGACTGGTGATGACAGGAACATCCTTGATGGCAGATCGAAGCGCGTGGACGTAAGTGCTAAAGAGGAGCGTGTTCACAGCGGCGCCAACAGTCTGGTCGAGCGCGAACTTGATGAGTGTGTTGCGCACTGAGAGCTTGGGCTGTGCCATCTTGGCACTCTTGGCACTCTTGGTGTCCTTGGGATCCTTGGACTTGGGAGATTCATCAGGATGGGCTGGGAAGGTCGATTCAAGAAAATCTTGCCTAGTGGAGCGTCAGTCAAATATCAAGGCAGTGTAGAAAGAGTGAGACTTGCCAGTAGAAGTTGGGCGGTGTGCAGAGCACGTTGAAAAGAAGGAATTGGAACACGGGAACCCAATCTATCACGACATCGGTCTACAAGACCAGTCAGTTAGTATATAGATCAAGCGAGGATTAGAACGAGTGTCTATCTTGACTTACCCCAGCTCGGTAGGCTGTAATAACTTGAGCTAAGATATTGGCGATGCCACCAAGAGCAGCACTCTGGATAGTGGCCATGACCACGGGTGGATACTGAAGGCTCATTGTTGCTAGTTCGATGTGTTGCGAGAGATATATGAGGTGGAGTTGGTAGAGAGTAATGTCGAGATGTTGAAGAAAAGAGAGACGTGTTGAGTTGAGTTGCGTTGAAGTGATGTTGCTGGAAGATCGGCGCTAAGATAGGCGAGCACCTTCTGATGAGACTCCCGTCTAGTGCTGAATGCGTTGATCGTTACCTCCAGTCTATTGGTGAACAGTCACAGTAGGTAGATAGACACAATAATGAAAAAATAGTAAGGGAAGAACTGGATGGATTATACAGAATTGGGAGGTGACGTGCGGTATAGGTAGTCTAGACTATCGATAGTAATCTCGAGTTGTCAAAGAGGCGTAGTTTTGGTTGCGTGTCCTTTTGATTGGCCAGGATCAACTAACAACACGCCTAGGTACTAGGTACCTAGGTAGATAATCGACCAAAGTACCCCAAGGTATGTAGGTAGGTAGGTATCGACTGAAAGCATGGACTAATGGATCCGTAATGTTGCAGCATAATAGCAAAAGTCCACTTCTATAATAATATCGAACAATTCGTTTCAACGTTCCTTTGATGGATCATCGTGCAAAGCAAATAGTTATCGTACATCCTCGGTCATCCCTCATTACCATCTCCGTACCTTCGTCGACTCAACTTTTCTATCCACCAGACACCACCAAGACTATTGAACGCCTGGATGAATGGATATCACTGACACATTCCCCGGTCTACGTTGCTGTTTATGCCCTAGTGAGAATCCACATAAAGAACAACTGCACAAAGTACGAGTACATGAAGAGGAACTTTGTACGTTGGCTGCGCTTCGCCCGTGAATCCGTCTGCATGGGTCCGCCACTGACTCCAGCTGAAGTTTCGGGAAGAAGAACATACTTGAGCGACCGCATCTAGATTGATTAGAATAAGTAAACTGTTTAGGAATCGCATGAAACTTACCAAGAAGAGAGAGTTTGCCAGGTAAGTGTAGAAAAAGATCAACCAGCCGACCCAACCACCAGTACCCTTTCCGCCGTTGAGAACCTCGGCAACGACAACAGTAACAATGATTCCGACAAACTTGTATCCCGAGTAGGCGATCAGGTCCAGGAGCTGCGATTGGCTAGAAATGCTTAGGAGATAACATCCAAGCTTAAGGAAGAAGATCTCCACGATGACAACAATAAGACTAATCGTGGCTGTCTTTCCAAGAAGTTCTGGCTGGAACTGGTGGTTCAGGCCAGCAATCAAAGTCGAGAGAAGGATATAAGTCACCAATGCCATGACTACGTTGTAGTTAGCCCTCCGTCCTTGGCTCAAAATACCAAAAGCTTGCGTTACACACCTGGAATGTACATGTCGGGACTGTTGATGTCGTCTCGCGGGGGTAGATACCAACCCTCCTGTCCGTTCTGTCCAACAGCTTGCTTTCGCGACCAAGGCTTGTGCCTCCAAGGGAACAGGACGAGGAACAGCTTGTTGACGACATACGAGTTGGAGACGTTGAAGTAGTGCTTGAGGGCGGAAACGTTGACATATCGACCAAACTGTTCAAGTCAGCATCAGAACACCGCCAGACACCCTCTCAAGACTTACGTTCTGTTCCACATATTCCTGTCCATGCCGAAACGCTGTCTGGCCGAATTGCGCCGCGACCTGCGCTGTGGGATCGTTCATAAAGTTGCCGTATGCGCCGAATACATTGCCGCTGGTGCCTCCCTGCTGTTGATACGGGTTTCCCCCAGCATTAGCAGCATAGCCCTGCTGCGACTGCGCGGAGCCTGGAGGAGGAGGAGGCGATCTTAGTTGAGGGACGGTCGAGACATGCTGGGGAACTGGATGGTGAAGAGGGGGCGACTGCGCGTAGGCCGCTCGCTGCATGGCGGGTTAGGAGGATATGATCGGTATTTGAGGAATTTCAATGGGTTTTCGGCGCAGCACTAAGATTGTTGTGTTAAGGTAAATTGAATTGAGTTGGTGATGACGAGGTAAAGCTGATGTTTGGTCTGGTTTGGTCCAGTTCAGGGAAATGTGTTCGATTCTCTCTGATTGGGCGCTAGCATCATGGAGAGCTCCAGCCTCTACTCTGTACCTTGTAGGGAATCTGGAGCTTAGGTAGACGTCAGCCCCTGTTCGTTTCTCCAACGGGCACGTGATTGTTTTACAAGCAGTCGACAGTTTTGGACGTTGAAGGTAGTATCTACCTAAGGTACCTACCTACCTGTAGCTATGGATCTTGCATTGTATTGGGTGCATTAAAATTAATACTATGCATCCATCTTAACTATTCATGGCAGTACCATCAACTGCATAGTAATATCAAAACTTTAACGAAGAATTCCATGGGGTAATGTAGATAATGTTTCTGAGGATTGATTGTTGATTAAGAAGATACCTAAGGTACCTACCTAGCAGCCTACCTAGGTAGGTAGTGCGGCGTGTCCGGGTTGGGTCTGGTCGAGTCCCTCGTCTCTCCCGTCCCCATCCCTCCATGGATCCATGTCTGTCCCTCATTTTGATGTGCAGCGGTTTTATCTTATCTGGGTTCCGTTACTTACACTCTCGACACTACAGTACAGTCCTGTAGCCACATCTACCATCTAATCTTTCGCCTCTTCCCCCCCC